CTCCTCCTCCTCCTCCTCCTCCTCCTGGTACTCCTCCCCCTCCCCTCCTCCTCCTCCTCCTCCTCTTCCTGGTCGTCCTCCTCCTCCTGGTCGTCCTCCTCCTCCTGCTCGTCCTCCTCCTCCTCCTGCTCGTCCTTCTTCTCCTGCTCCTCCTGCTCCTCGTCCTGCTCCTGCTCGTCCTCGTCCTCCTGGTCTTGCTCGTCCTCCCCCTCGTCGTGCTCTTGCCCCTGCTGAAAATGTAGCCCAGGAATGGGAGTTTTGGGAAGTCGAAGAGCACGAAGTTGCCTACAGTTGGCTACGGGCATTCAAAATGTGGCCCGGGAATGGAGTTCTGGGAACTCGAAGAGCACGAAGTGGCCTACAGTTGGCTCCGGGCATCAAAAATGTGGCCCGGGAATGGAGTTCTGGGAAATAGAAGAGCACGAAGTGGCCTACAGTTGGCTCCGGGCATCCAAAATGTGGCCCGGGAATGGCGTTCTGGGAACTCGAAGAGCACGAAGTGTGTGACTGTTGCATCCGGCCCCCCAGAATGTGGCCCGGGAATGGCGTTCTGGGATGTCGAAGAGCACTTTGTGTGTGACTGTTGCATCCGGCCCCCCAGAATGTGGCCTGGGAATGGAGTTCTGGGAAGGCGAAGAGCACGAAGTGTGTGACTGTTGGTGAAAAACGAGCCCGGCTCATGCCGCCCGGAAACGCCCCAACACCTGCCCGGACCCCCCTGTGGAGTGATCTGCTGCTCTCTTTTGATCCCACTAGAAACCTATCAGTCTTCGCTGTTAGGTAAATTATCCCGGCAAAGCAACCTAACAGCGATGTGTAGGAGCATATCTGGAAGCATTCCCCTTAAGATTCAGATGAGAATCCAGTTGTAGAATTCTGCTGTTCTCGCAGTCGTAGTCGCATTCGCGATGACAGTCGCAGTGGCAACGGCAGTCGCAGTCACAGCCTCAGCCTCAGCCTGCCTCAGCCTCAGCCTCAGCCTGCCTCAGCCTCAGCCTGCCTCAGCCTCAGCCTCAGCCTGCTTCAGCCTCAGCATCAGTCTGCCTTCAGCTTCGGCCTCAGCCTCAGACTGCCTCAACCTCAGCCTGCATCAGCCTCAGCCTCAGCCTCAGCCTGCCTCAGCATCAGCCTGCCTCAGCTTCAGCCTCAGCCTCAGCCTGCCTCTGCCTCAGCCTCAGCCTGCTTCAGCCTCAGCCTCAGTCTGCCGTCAGCCTCGGCCTCAGCCTCAGCCTGCCTCAGCCTCAGCCTGCATCAGCCTCAGCCTCAGCACGAAGCAACCCAGCTAGAAGGACAAAGCGCTGAATGTACACCGATGTGTTCGACGACTGCGTATGTAATGATGTGACGATATACAGACTGAGCCCTTCGTGAATGTCTACATGTTTTTCTGACGCCTACAAACGGCGCTGACGTGTGTGTGAAAAGTGTCCGCGCAGCAAAAGCCGGCGAAGCGTGCAGACAGCCAGCTGCAAAAGGTTGCGAGCGGCTCTTGGAAGACGTTTACGGAACGGAGCTACGGTGTCTGAAAACAATGGCATCGAAGCGAAGAGCCTCGGAGCCCTGCAGCCTGAGAAACACCGCAGGAACTCGCATACTGAAAAGGAATGCATTGCAAACCGCACGTTGCGAACCCTGCAGGCTGAGAAGCACCGCAGGATGTCGCATGCTGAAAAGCACTTGTACTGCAGAGCGCAGGCTGCGAAACCTGCAGGCTGAGAAGCACCGCAGGAACTCGCATGCTTTCGAACACTACTGCTCGAGACCGCAGCTGGAGAGCGGCAGACCGCAGGCTGAGAAGCACCGCGGGCAGAGAGACTTGCAAAACTCAGATGTCCTGATCGTCTTGGAGGAAGTCACGCCAGTCCGGCGGCTGCCAAGAATCGATGATGCGCCTGGAGCCACCGCCCGTGCTGCCGCCGATGTCCAGGTAGTCGCCATCGCCCCTGAACAGACGGCCGTGCCCGCACGCCAGAATCGCTTGGTTGCGGATTTGAAGCAGCGCTCCGCTCTCAAACATCTGCAACACGTCCTGCTGCCTGCGCGTGAAGTTCGGCTTTGCCTGGCCAGCCTGGGCAGACAGATATAGGGAAAGCCGCTCCCCCTCGTTGTAGCGCGCGATGGCCTCGGCCTTCTGGTGGTGCAGCCGGCGCCGCTGTTGCCGCAGAGCTTCCTCGGGAACTGCTGCATCACGGCCCTCACTGTGATCAGCTTGCAACGCTTGCGTTAACCAATCAACGTCGAAGCGCCCTGAGAAGGCCAGCACCTCCCAGATCTGTTTAGTACCGGCCACACGTTGCAAATGGCGATGCCACCGCTTACGCTTCTGGTCTTTCACAAACTTGGCGACGCTACCCAGACCTGCACCCTTGGCCTGGCCACCTTTTCCCGCAGGCTGAGAAGCACCGTGAGAACCTTTCTTACCGCCTGGCCCTTTGTTCGGACCCTGCGGAACCGCATGGCCCCCTTGTGGCGCAGACTTGCCTTTCGCTTTTCCCTTTTCGATATCCCGTTCCTGAAGCGCACGCTGCTGCCGCGACTGCTCGTACTGGTCGCGAGCTACTCTGACCAATTCCTGGCGCTCAGGCTCCGTGAGAACGTAGCGCATGTCGTCGATGTTCTTGCTCCGCAGAAAGTCATGTCGAAGCTTAAGGACAGAGAGAATGGCTCGGCCAGTCTCCTCCTGAGACGCAAAGGCCGTGTCATATTCCGAGCCAGGCTGAGGAGCGCCAGCTGGATCAGTGTCCGCTGGCTCCGTGGACTTCCTCTTTTTGAAAAGCAAGAGACTGAGATGATGGAGGACTTTCGGATCGTACTCCTCGTCGTACCTGTCGTCCCAAAGCTTCCTCAGCTCCCTGTGCAAGTCGTCCGCGCGATTCTGAACGACATCCTCGACGTAGTCGGGATCACCCGGTGAAGTCGGTGAAAGCGGAGGAGCAGAACTCGGCGACCGATCCCAATGCACAGAAGACTCGCGGTCCGCCTGTACGCTGACGTCGGCGTCGGAGACGTTTTCGACGACAATTTTCCGCCTCTTGCTCTCCCCAGGCTGAATAGCACCAGGGAGAGTGAGCACAACCGCCACCGCATCGTGTGCGTCGTTGCGCATGCCACGATCCGTAAAAGACGCGCCAACGGCAATGGAGCAGAAACGGGCGACTGCTCCGCAGACCGCGACGTGGTCGCCTTTGAGGTCGGCCGGAGTGGCATGGACCTCCCATACCTTCTCGTCGTTCTGCTCGCGCTGGTAAGCCTCCCGCGCCTCCTGGAAAGTGAGGTTGTCGTCGCCGACTACAAGCACAACGACTGCCTCGTTTAGATTCTCAAGAATCTTGGCCAGGCCGTCCAGGTGCAAGCGGAGATGGCGAACTGTCCGCTTTCGAGTCTGGATGCTCGGCGGTTTCTTGCCGCACACGATGTGCATGTTGGCGATCACCACGTGGAACTTGTCATGGCCTGGTTTGTTCACCTCAAAATGTGAAATAACAGCATCAATATCTCGGCCGCTAGGAGGCCTGTAAACTTTGCTGTCTTCGCACAGAGTCAGTTCCGCAGGCTGAGAAGCACCGCGGAACCCCCAGAGAGTCAAGTAGTTGTCGACCTCCAAGAAGCGAATGCCATCACCGAAAGGCTTACTGAGGATCTCTGTCACGTTGATCCCTGCTCGGCGAAAGCCTTCACGGAACGCACCGACCTCGCAGCCACAGACCATATCAGCATCAGCGGTCTCCACTATCTTGGCGCACAACCTTCCGAAGTTAGCGCAGTGAGTGGCCGCCTGCTTACCAGTCATCATGCCCTGCTCGAACCCGAAATTGAACGAGGCGACCGTGAAAGACGCAGGCTGCACAGCGCCAGAACCAGGCGTCTGTCCACCTTCCTCCGCAGGCTGAGAAGCACCGCGAGGCGGCGCAGGCTGAGAAGCACCGCGAGGCGGCGACACTTCGGACGAGCCTCGCGGAGCAGAGGCTGCGGATGAACGTTGGACATGGGGGTACGGCCAGGGGAACGCCATTGCAATCAAAACTCAGTGGACTGCAGTGAATGAATGTAGTGGCCAATTGAATGCAGAGGACTGCAGTGTCACTAGCAAGTCCTGAACCAAACACAGCTGTGGCGGAAGGAATATGAAGCGTCTGGCTATTCAAAATGTTGCCCGGCAATGTCCTCCTCCTCCTCCTCCTCCTCCTCGTCCTCCTCCTCCTCTTCCTCCTCCTCCTCCTCCTCCTCCTCCTCCTCCTCCTCCTCCTGGTAGTCCTCCCCCTCCCCTCCTCCTCCTGGTAGCCCAGGAATGGGAGTTTTGGGAACTCGAAGAGCACGAAGTGGCCTACAGTTGGCTCCGGGCATTCAAAATGTGGCCCGGGAATGGAGTTCTGGGAACTCGAAGAGCACGAAGTGGCCTACAGTTGGCTCCGGGCATTCAAAATGTGGCCCGGGAATGGAGTTCTGGGAACTCGAAGAGCACGAAGTGGCCTACAGTTGGCTCCGGGCATCCAAAATGTGGCCCGGGAATGGAGTTCTGGGAACTCGAAGAGCACGAAGTGTGTGACTGTTGCATCCGGGCCCCCCAGAATGTGGCCCGGGAATGGCGTTCTGGGATGTCGAAGAGCACTTTGTGTGTGACTGTTGCATCCGGCCCCCCAGAATGTGGCCTGGGAATGGAGTTCTGGGAAGGCGAAGAGCACGAAGTGTGTGACTGTTGGTGAAAAACGAGCCCGGCTCATGCCGCCCGGAAACGCCCCAACACCTGCCCGGACCCCCCTGTGGAGTGATCTGTGAGCTCTTTTGAGTCAATAAGAAACCTATCAGTCTTCGCTGTTAGGTAATAAGTCAAAAGAAGAAGCAAACACATAAAACGCAGTACTCCACCGTGCCTGGCTGGGTTCATCCTGGGCCTCAGGATGGTGTGCAGGCTCTCCTGGCCGAGGCCCAGGCAGTGTACACACCATGCCGGGACCCAGGAAGGCTCTGGCCAGGAGATGTATAGAGATGCACTCTGCGTAGGTCCGTCCGCTCACAGCGCGCTGGCAGGCCGCAGCGGCCGGCCTCTGGCAGAGGTCCCCACGGCGCCGTTGAGCCCGTGGGGCTTGGCGCCGCGGATGCCGCCCACTCCAGCGCCGCCCGTCCGCCCGTCCAACCTCAGTGCCAGCGCAGCGCGCTCGGATGCCGCGTGGCTGTGGATGGAGGGCCATGGCGGCGGCTGCTCGGCTTCAAGTTTCTGGCACGAGCCTGGAGAGAGGCCGCCGTCATCGGTCAGCACGGCGCTGCGTGGCGCTGCCCCGGACCGTTCAGGCACTGGGCACAGCGAGCTGGCTGCGACGGAGAGGCTGCTGCCGCGGGCTCCGAGCATCTCGCACTTGCACAGCAGCCTGGACATCGACACTCTGTCGCTACTCGAGGCGCCAGGTGCAACGACCGCATCTCCAGATGCCCTAGCGAGAACGTCAGACGTGCCACCCGCAGGCGTGACGTCGCCACAGCACAGCGAGGCTGGTAGCGCGGGTCACGTGGTGGCAGAGGCGTTTGCCTATCGCAGATGCCTGTCTGCTGCCGTCCATGGATGGCGTGGGACCGCACGCCTGTGCGCAGCCTTGAGGCGTCTGGTGAGCCTCCGAGCTTCACACTTGGTGGCTGCCGTGCTGGACCGCTGGCGCGCTGCCGCTGGAGAAGTTGCATGGGAGAGCCGTGTTGCATGCGAGGCGGCAGAACATTTGCGACAGAGACTGCGCGAGCTGTTTGGGCAGCACGTCTTGCGGGAATGGCTGCTCGCTTCACGAAGACGTGGCCAACTGCTGCGGCTGCAGAGTGAGGCGGCCTCAGATGTTGCGCGCGAGGCGTGCCGCAGCGGCCTGGGCTGGTGGATGCAGTGGCGGGGTCAACGGCGTGACATGCGTGATCTGGAGACGACGGCCGCTGAATGCCACCGAGAGGCGCGCCTGCGGGCGGCCCTCGGGCAGTGGCGAGCGATGCCGCCACAGCAGCTGGCGCAGAGGAGGCACCGCCTCCGCTCGCAGCAGCAAGCTGCCCGAAGGGCCCGCTCGGCCGCGCTGGCGCGCTGGCGCGCCTGTGGGGCGCGCCTGCGCGGCCCTGCTCGCTGCGGAACCGCCCTGCGGGCCGCGCGCAGGCGGGGCCTGCTGGCACGCGGCCTGGCGCGCTGGCGCGCCACGCTCGTGGCGCCGCACGCGGAGCGGCGCCGCGGGGCGCGGCAGCTGCGCAGGGCGGCAGCTCGACGTGGCCTGCAGACGACGTGGGCGGCGTGGTGCCGCTTCGCCCGGGTCCTCCGCACCGGCCGGCAGATGGCCGAGAGGCGGAGGGTCGATGGGCTGATGCGGGGCGCCTGGGGCGCGCTGCGGGCGGTGGTCAGGAGGAGGAGCCTCACCCGAGTGAGCCGCGGCTGGGCCGACGTCCGCAGAGCCCGGGCGCAGCTCGGCAGGGGCTGGGCCAGCTGGCGCGAGTGGCTCGCGAACACCGGGCGGGCGCAGTCGATGCGGAATGAGGCCCAGCTCCTGGCCACCTGGCGCTGGCTCCGCCTCTCGTGGGGGGACTCGCACCGGGCATGGGGCAACGTTAACGCCGTGCCCCTGCCACCCTTCGCGGCGCGCGGCGCCAGGCTCGCTGCAGACCTGCTACTGCCAGTGGCGCCTCTCGCACTGCGGCCGAGCGCGGCACTGTGCTTAGTGTCGCTGTCGCCGTCGCTGTCGCCGTCGCTGTCGCCTCCGCCGCCGTCGGCGTCTCCCCTATCGCCGTCGTCGTCGCCGTCGTCGTCGTCATCGTCGTCGTCGTCGTCGTCGTTTCGCCGTCTCCCCTTAGTCCTTCGGCGTCCAGACAAGCTCTAAACGGCTTAATTTTTTCCGAGTTTTGGGATCCGGAATTGTGTTTTGGGTCTGACGGCTGGTAAAAAATGACACACGACGCGAACTCCATGCTGATGGTGAGGCGAGGAGGAGGCGGAGGAGGAGGGGGAGGAGGAGGAGGAGGAGGAGGAGGAGGGGGCGGAGGAGGAGAGGAGGAGGAGGAGAGGAGGAGGAGGAGGAGGAGGAGGAGGAGGAGGAGGAGGAGGAGGAGGAGGAGGAGGAGGAGGAGGAGGAGGAGGAGGAGGAGGAGGAGGAGGAGGAGGGGGGGAGCTGGAGGAGGAGGAGGAGGAGGAGGAGGAGGAGGAGAAGGATGATGAGGAGGAGGAGGACCAGTGTAAACCCAAGAGTCATCAACGATGTTGGAATAAACCTTCCCTCCAAGCTCCCTCTCCCTATGCCTCTCCAAGCGTTCATTTCCACTGAGGGAGCTGCCTCGTTGGAAGACAACCGTTTGAAGACTCAGAAGCATGCCAAAACATTATTCTCGAGACTCCAACGCCACGGATCAACCGGACTGTTGCGTCTTGACGATCCTGAATCGCGCCAGCGCCATTCTTGCGACTTTCACGCCGCGAATTAACGTAACGGTTGCACCCTCATAATCCTGAGTCTTTCCAGCACATCATTTCTGGTCCGTTGACCATGGGAATTTGTGAAACTCTGGAAATGAGAGAAAAGGAATTTGCGCGGCGCTACGGCGAGAGCCACATTTTGAAAACGAGCCGCTCTCAGTCCGTGAACGTATTGCAATGTTTAAGCGAATGTGTGCGGCGCTGAGGCGATAGCCATCATAAACGACCCGCCCTCAGTCCGCGAAACTGTTGCATTTCTTAAACCGAATGTGCGCGGCGCCGATGCGACAGCCACATTTTGAAAACCTCCCGCCTTCAATCCGCGAAACTCTTGTAGATTCTGTTAAATCGAATATGCGCGGCGCTAAAGCGAGATCCACATTTAGAAAACCACCCGCCCTCAATCCGTGAAGCTCGTACAAATTTCTAGAACGAATGTGCTCGGCGCTCAGGTGCGAGCCAGATTTTGGAAACCACCCACCCTCCATTTGTGAAGCTGTTGTCGTTTTTAAGCTTCCGGGTCATAAGCGGTGAGGAGGTCTCAGGCGAAACGCCTGGCCCGCCCTTTTGACCTGCTCGTGGTGTGACAGGGAAAAGTTCTTTGTAAGGAAATGGAATGGAGGAGGAGCAGGAGCAACAGGAGGAGGAGGAGGAGGAGGAGGAGGAGGAGGAGGAGGAGGAGGAGGAGGGGGAGGAGGAGGAGGAGGGGGAGGAGGAGGCGGAGGAGGCGGAGGAGGCGGAGGCAGCGGAGGAGGCGGAGGAGGAGGACGAGGAGGAGAAGGAGGAGGAGGAGGAGAAGGAGGAGGAATAGGATTAATAAACATAACGAAAGATGTGCAGAAGAGGACTAATCATGATAATACGAAGAAGCATGGTAATAGTAACATTATGATAAGTATTCGGAATTATTACCATTCGTCGTCGTCGTCGTAGTAGTAGTAGTAGTAGCAGCAGTAGTAGTAGTAGTAGTAGTAGTAGTAGTAGTAGTAGTAGTAGTAGTAGTGGTAGGAGTAGTAGTAGTAGTAGTAGTAGTAGTAGTAGTAGTAGTAGTAGTAGTAGTAGTAGTTAGTAGTAGTAGTAGTAGTAGTAGTAGTAGTAGTAGTAGTAGTAGTAGTAGTAGTAGTAGTAGTAGTAGTATTCGTAGTAGTAGTAGTCGTAGTAGTAATAAGTGTAGTATGATTAATGCTACTGCTAATGCAGGTACTGTTATTAACAGTGGTAGTACTAAGAACCAAGACGACTTCTCACACGAATACTAATACTCACAAAAACCATACTCCTACCATCAATGCTAATTTTAAGAGTGGGAAGCTAAATACGACCAAACGACCATAGTAATAACATTACTACTAATACTCATATATTATATTTTAAACAAAACATGGCAATACTACCCGTAATACTACGAATGCTAGTAATGGCATTATTGTTTGCGATCGTGCTGACACCTATTATCATTTATGATCAGACAATTTAAACTTATTACTACGTACGACTTACGATTAATAAGATGAATACGAACCATAATACTAAACACAATAACAATACTACCAAACATAAACTGATGAGGAGAAGGAGGAGGGGGGAGACGAGGAGGAGGAGGAGGAGGAGGAGGAGGAGGAGGAGGAGGAAGAGGAGGAGGATAAGGAGGATGAGAAGGAGGAGGAGGAGGAGGAGGAGGAGGAGGAAGAGGAGGAGGAAGAGGAAAGTCCGTCCGAGCGAAGCTTGGCTGATCCGCCGCTCGGTCTGGGCCCGCGCCATGGCGACGGCGAGAAAAAGCTAGCGGTTGTTCATGCAACTGGCGCCAGCGCCCGCCGCCTGTCGCCGCCCCGCCAACAGCTCCAGCGCCGAGCGCCAGCGCCCTGCCGTCTGGCAGCGGCCAGGCCTGGCCAGCGGCGGCCCCCAGGCGGCGCCCTCCGTCCGCCGTCGTCCAGGGCATCGGGCAAGCGGCGCGCTGCCGGCGTCGCCAGTGTCCGCCGCGGCGGCCGCGGGCCGCCAGCCGCCTGGCTCCGCATAGCGCTTGCCAGCAGCTTTGCGGAGCTTGCTCGCTGCGGCGGCCTGCAAGCCGTAGCTCAGGACCTTGTAGGCCCGCGGCAGCTCCCGTGGCTGCTGGTCCTCTGACAGCAGGCGCACCTGCCCGAGCAGCCAGAGGCGGGCCTCGGCGCCGCGCCGCCCGCCGCCTCGAAGACGAAAGGCATCAACCTGGCGCCGGGGCAGCGGGAGTGCTTGTCTCGCTCCCCGCGGCGGCTGGCCTCCCCGTCCCGCCGCGCGGCCACCCGCAGCTCAGCTTGGGTCCTGGCTGCGGCGCGGCGCACGGAGACGTCGACCCAGCTCCGGCCGTCGTCGCCGTGGTATTCCAGGTCGAGGCGGCTGGTGGCCGTCCCAGGTCGGCACCCTCTGCTGGAAGACTCGCCGCGCCAGCGCTGGACGAGGCTGCCGACTCTCCGGTTGAGCTCCCCGCGGCGCGCCACCGCGCCCCCGCCAAGCTGGCAGATGACGGCAAGGTAGCCCTGCTCGTCCAGCGCCCCGGCGCAGCCAGCTCCACCGGCGCCGTGCAAGCATCAGGCGGCCCCCGCCGTCGCTAGCTCCTGCTAGCAGATCTCCGCGCGCGGGAGCTGCAGCCGTCGCCGCGCGCCAGTCTGCCAGAGGGCGTCCTCCAGCGTGCAGCGAGCGTCTTCTGGGTAAGCGCGGAAAGCTCCGCTGCCGCTCCCTGCTGCGCTCTGCAGCTCGGCCTGTCGGGGAAGGATCACGTGTCGCAACAAGGCTGTGCGCTGTCTCCTTTGCACCGGCTCCGTGACCAGGCCTTGCTTCAGGGGCGTCTGCAGCGCGGTCGCCAGGTCCCCGCCCGCGGCGAGCTCCAGCCCTTGGGCTTGCAGTCCGCGCCTCGCCGTTGCCAGCTGCTGGGCGGCCCGCGGCAGCCGATCCAAGCAGTCTGCCAGCGTCACGCAACCTTGGTCCTCCGGTCCTCCGTGTCCTCCGGCGCCGCCGCCATCCGCCGCCATTCAGAAGGCTTGGAAGGCTGCGTGACGGCGCGTGCTGGCCAGTTGCGCGCCCAGGCCTCCGAACCTGGACGGGAGGGAGAGGAGCTCCTTAGCTGCGTTGTCCAGGTCCCGCTCCAGGAGGTCCCGCCAGCAGCCCGTGAGCAGGTCGTCGTACTGCTGTGTCGCGGTGTCCGTGGCGAGTTCCATCCGCAAGGAGTGTTGGCTTGCTGGGCCAGCGTTAGTGCGGAGGTGGGCTGCCGCCGCCTGCTTTTGATTCCAGCCTGCTGCAGGTTCTTCAGCTTCCCCCAGAATGCTTGCAGCTTTCCCGCCGCTTCTGTCAGGCTGTTCGCCCGTTCCCCGGGCAGCGGGCGCGCGGCTGTCGGCGCATCCCGGCGGCCGCAGGTGCTTGCCGAGGACGGGCAAGCTGGGCACCCAGCGCGCTTGCAGGTCCGCCGTGATCACGGCGCGCTCAGCCGGACACCAGGCGGCCGTCTTCGTTGTGTTCAGCCGCAGCCCGAGGGGCTGGAGTGCCTGCTGCAAGGCTGGCAAGGCGAGCGCGGCCAGCGCGGCGTCCACCACAGGGTAGGAGTCGCCCACGTAGCTGTAGAGCTTCGCCTGAGGGTCCACGGAGGAAGAGGAGGTGGATACTGATGATGATGCTGCTGCTGCTGATGCTGCTGATGACGCTGATGCTGCTGCTGCTGCTGCTGCTGCTGATGATGATGATGATGATGATGATGATGATGAGGATGATGAGGATGATGATGAGGATGATGATGATGATGATGATGATGATGATGATGGTGATGATGATGATGATGATATGGTGATTGTGAAGAAGAAGAAGAAGAGGAGGAGGAGGAGGAGGAGGAGGAGGGGAGGAGGAGGGGGAGGAGGAGGAGGAGGACGAGGAGAAGGATAACGAGGACGAGGGCGAGGATGAGGACGAAGGACGAAGGAGGAAGGAGGTAGGAGGTTGGAGAAGGGAGGGGAATTGGGTGGTACTGTTCCTGGTGATCTGCAGGCCCCTGTGCGGCGCTGCGAGCTGCTCGCGCACTTCGCGACAGCGGTGCAGCGGTGGCTCTTCCGCGGCTGGTTTCGCGAGGTGCGCCGTGTCCAGGAAGTCGGCCTCAGCAGTTCTCTGACCAGCGTTCGGCGCACCTTTGCTGCGTGGTGTGTCGCCACCGCCCGCCGTCACCGAGTGCGTCGCTGCGGCGACCGCATCGTGGAGCTCCGGGCAGCTCGGCTGCGCGTGTCGTGCGCGCGCGGATGGCATCTCGCATGCCGGAGGCGTGCAGCGCTGCAGCGGACTGCGGAGCAGGTGGCCTCGGCGTGCTCGTGGTGCACGCGGCGCCGGGCCGTTGACTGCTGGCGGGCGGCCCGCGCCCGGGAGGCCAGCGTGCGCACCGTGGGGGACTCCATCGTGCGGCGCGTGGCCGCGGGGCTGCTCAGGCGGGCCTTCGGGGCCCTGCGGGGTCGCTGGCGGCAGAAGCACCACGGGGCGCTCCTGTCCCGGCTGGCCGACCTGCTGCTCAGGACCGCCCGGGGGCCGGCCGCGGCGGGGTGCCGCAAGGGAGGAGCCAGGGTCAGCCCCGCCGTGGGAGGCCCTGGCGGGTGGCGGCGGGGAGTCCGAGGTGTGCGTCGAGGCGTGGGCGATCCCAGGGCGGGGCCAGAATGGGGCTGGGGGAGGCCACCGGCTGGCGGCGGTGGGCAGCCGTAAATCGGTATCGCTGAACCGATCCCCATCCCCATGCCCACCCCCTTCGAGACCCCCGCCAAATTACCCCTCCAGTTGGGGATACACCCCTCGAAGCCCGAAGGGAACGGCCTATATCCCCATCTAGGGGGGCAACTCGGCCAGTGGGGCTCAGGCCACGCCGCTGGGGATGGGGATCGGTGAAAGGGTACTCAGTAAAGGCAGGTCTAGGAGCCAGGACTGGGTTGGCCCAGCTGGCGGGGCGGGGAGCTGCGGGCGGGTGGCGCAGATCTGGACCTGCAGTGATCGCAGGGGTGGTGGTGGTGGTGGTGGTGGTGGTGGTGCCAAGCCACGAGAACTCTGAGCCCGGGGGGGGGGCCCTGGGGGGGCCCTCGGGGGGTAAGGAGGAGGAGGAGGAGGAGGAGGAGGAGGAGGAGGAGGAGGAGGAGGAGGAGGAGGAGGAGGAGGAGGAGGAGGAGGAGGAGGAGGTGGTGGTGGTGGTGGTGGTGGTGGTGGTGGTATGTTTTCCTTTCTTGGGGGTGGGTGGGCCGGGTCTCGGGCGGCCGGGCCTGCGGGGCGGGGAGCCGCAGGTGCAGATCTGGACCCTGGTGGTCTTGTTTCGGAGGGACCAGGGCCAGCTTTGGCCCATGGGGGGCTCAACAGCCAGGAGTGTCGTCAGCGTCGCACGGCTCTGGGCTCACACGTGTCTGAAAAGTGACAAGGGCCCACGGGGACAACAGGGGTCACAAGGGCCACAAAGATCCGTCCAGGCCACCAGGGTCACGAGGGCTTCTGAACTGACAAGGGCCACAACGGCGTGTCACAAGCGCCACACGGTACCCTAAGGCTTCCAGGGCTCTGTCCTTCCCCCCCCTGTGACTTTGTGATTTTTGTAGCTCCCCCCGCCGCTGGGCCAACCCAACTTCCCGGGGCACATCCCCAGCACTCCCCAAGTCTAAACTTAGTGGCCTGTGTGTTTCTGGTGCGCCTTGTGACCCTGGTGAGACAGGGATGGCGAAAGGGCAGCACCGACCCCAAATCTTTCATCATGCGCCGATCCCGGCTTTTGTGCCCCATCCTGCCCAGGAACCTGAGGTTTCGCCGTCGGGAGGCCATCGCCGATCTGTTGGCAGTGCCCGGCCGATTCCAGGCCGAAATCCCTCCCCCGAGCCAGCCTCCCAGTGGCGGCCCCCCTTCGGAAGCGCAGTGGCATTGCTGGCCTCCCTGAAGAGGCCACCCCGCCTCCACACTTCGGGCACCCTCAGGAAGTCCCGCATCCGCGGCGGGCTGCTGGAGCTGCTGACGCACTCGCGCGCGAGGGCACGGCGGCGCCTGGCGGCAGACCGGCTGCGGGAGCGGCTGTTGACGGCCTGCTGGCGGCGATGGCTCAGGCTCGGCGCAAGGAATCTGTGCACCCCACGTCGCTTCTCTCTATACGCGGGCCCGCCTGGAAGGAAGGTGGCCCGCATCGATCCAGCGTCCTGCGAGCAGACGCTGCAAGTCCATGCGCCTCACCTGGCCTGGGAGGGGGACGGGAGGTGAGGCGCGCAGATTTCTCTGCCCTGTCAGGTGGCGCCTCGGGGCACAGGACCGCCGGGCCCGCTGCGGCAGGGTGCGAGCGAGCGCGAGCTGCGCGCTGGGGCGCAGGGCGCTCCGGGAGTGGGCTGGAGGCGCGGCCGCCGCCGCGCACCGGCAGCGCCTGGCCCTGCACCACCAGTCGGCGCGGAGCCGCCAGGCCGTGTCGCGGTGCCTGCTGCACTGGCGCGGCTGCGCGCGCGCGCGTGCCCGCCGGTGGCGGGCAGGGGCCGCCGTGGCGCAGCGCGTGGCGCTCCGGAGGGGGCGAGGGCTCCTGCGGCAGTGGAGGTGCGGGGCCGTGCAGGAGGCGGCGTGCCGGCGGACCCTGCAGCTGGGGCGCGCCAGGCTCGCGGCCACGGCCTTGGGGGCCTGGCTGTCGCACGCGCACGAGGTTCAGGAGGGAAAGAGACACACAGACACAGTTCATCGTCGATCCCCAGGAAAGTATGGGAAACTATGGGGGGGAAGGCGAAAACTCAGAAAATAGGGGGAAATATGGGGAATCCTGTTATTTGCGTATATTTGTTTGTGTGTCTCAGGGCCCCCTCAGAGGTCCAGGGCCAGAAACTTGCTTCCGCAGCGTACAGGATTCGGGAGAGGCATCTGGGAGACGAGGCAGGTAAACAAGCTGACGGTTTTGCAGCGGTCAAGTACATGTCTGGTTCGAAGACGGCGGCCCAAGAGTGCTATGAGCGAGGCCAGGACTCTGTCTCTTCAGCTCCCCGGGACAGGCCCGACCCCAACTCTGGGCGCAGGCGTCTCCTGGCCTCCCCGCAGGGCCGGGCCGCGCAGCTGGGCCGCCTCGGCGCGCTCGTGCTCCTGCGCCTGCGGCACCTCCTGGCCGCCTGGCGGCGCGAGGCGCTGCTCGCCGGCCGGGCCCGCCGCCTCCGCGAGGGGCTGGCCGCCCGCCGCCTGCGGCGCGCCCTGGCGCGGCTGCGGCACCGCGCCCGCCGGAGCCGGCGCCGGGGGGGGGCAGAAGGCACCGCGCTGCCGCGGGCACCTGCGCAGCGTCTCGGGGGCAGCTCCCGGGGGGTCAAGGTCTGGGTTTGCCCTGGTCCGAGATCTGGCTCGATCCCGCTTCATCCAGCTTTGTCGATGCTCGTTTCGGGGACCTTCCTGGAGCCCACCTAACGGATCTGTTCGACCCCAGTTCGACTCAAGTTCGACTCAAGTTCGACTCAGGTTCGACTCAGGTTCGACTCAGGCTGGGTAGTCGAAGGCCAGACTGTCAGATTGGATTGGGCCCCAAGGGCCAATCTGGCCCGGCCAAACTGGAGGATTTGGGTTATTCGCCAGACTGGATTCGCGTTGGCTCCCTCGCCAGATTGCCCCCGTTTGCCAGATTGGGCCTGCCAGATTGGCGCCAGATTGGCTTCGACTACCCAGTCAGGGTCGACCCAACTCGACTGACGTTCGACGCAGCTTCGACGCACGAGTGGAGCGAGTGGCTCCAGGAAGGTCCCCAGAACGAGCATCCAAAGCTTTATCCCGTTCACAATCCAGCTGGATCCCGCTCAGTGCCGCTTCATCCGAGGCCCACTCCAGTGCAAAACAGCCCCCCCGATGGGGCTCAATCCTCCTTAGTCCTTCCGACGAAGACCTCCCAGCAGTTGCCTCCGAACAACTGAGAGACTGGCCTGCCTGCACGTGCCCTTCGGGAATTCCTTATCCCCAATGACCCTGGCCCTTGGGACTCACGTGGGCACTTGGGCACCTCGGGAAGCTCAAGTCGGCGTCACCCCAACATACTTATACCTATACGACCACCCTTCGGGTGATAAGGAGGTTCGGGGGGGGAGGAACCAACGTCTCACTCGATCGGTCTCACTATCGATCTCACGATCTCACTATCGGTCTCGCTCGATCGATCTCACTCGATCGATCTCACCATCGATCTCACTCGATTTATTTCATTCGATCGATCTCACAATCGATCTGACTATCGATCTGACAATCGATCTCACAATCGATCTCACGATCGATCTCACAATCGATCTCACATTCGGTCTCACTATCGATCTCATTATCGATATCACCATCGATCTCACAATCAACATCATCAACATCATCGTCATCAACGTCATCATCATCATCATCATCATCATCATCATCATCATCATCATCATCATCATCATCATCATCATCATAATTTCATCATCATCGGGACACCACCATCATCATCACCTCATCATCATGATCATCAACATCAACATCACCACCACCATCATCATCATCATCGTCATCATCACCATCGTCATCATCATCACCGGGTCACCATCATCGTCACCATCGTCATCATCAACATCATCATCATCGGGACACCATCATAGTCATCATCGGAACACCATCATCATCATCTCATCTCTTCTCATCATCATCATCATGAACAACATCATCAACATCATCAGCATCGCGACACCATCATCATCAGCAACATCATCATCAACATCATCATCATCGGGACACCGTTATCATCATCAACATCAGCATCCTCAGCATCATCGGGCCACCATCATCAAAATCATCATCATCACCTCATCATCATCCTCATCATCAACATCATCATCATCATCATCATCGGGACTCCATCATCGTCATCATCATCATCAACGTCATCATCATCATCGGGACACCATCATCATCATTAACAGCATCATCATCAACCTCATCCTCTTCCTCTTCCTCATCCTCATCCTCCTCCTCCTCCTCCTCATCATCATCATCGGGACACCATGATCATCATCATCTTCATTATCATTCGCATCGATCATCAACATCATCAGGATCATCGACATCATCATCATCATCATCATCATCATCATCGGGACACCATCATCATCAGCAACATCATCATCAACATCATCATCGGGACACCATCATCATCACCACCATCACCATCATCACCAACATCGTCAACATCATCATCATCATCATCATCGTCATCGTCATCGTCATCGTCATCGTCATCGTCATCGTCATGTCATCGTCGTCGTCGTCATTTCATCATCATCAGAATCATCATCATAATCATCATCAACATCATCATCGGGACACCGACGGGACACGGACGGGACACCGGCGGGACACCGGCGGGACACCGCGGGGCCCCGGCCGCCCGGAAGGGAATCATTTGGTCCGGCCGCGCCTCAGCCACACGGGACACCAGCGGAACACCGGCGGGACACCGCGGGCCCCCGGCCGCCGCCCCTGGTTTTGTTGTGGTTGGTGGTTTTGGATTTTGGTGGTGTTTGGGTTTTTTTTTGTTTTTCGGTTGTTCTGGTGGATGGAAGGGAGACATTTGGTCTGGCCGCGCCTCAGCCACAGGAGACTTTCTCTCGCCCGCCCACGCAGCTTCGCCTTGCCCGCACGGCACGCACGAACACGAAACCGAAATCGATTTCCCGGTAGGGGGGCTCTCCGTTCCACTTCGATCTCACCCCTTCACCTCCGACTATATGTGCGTCGCCCCCCCAGGGGCGACGCGCGCACCGAGAAATCTTATCGTATATGCGTCGTGGCAGGCGCTTTCTGGCCACACCGCTCGGGAAACGACATACTACAAGATGGGTATACCATATGTTCGGGTCGGACGCGCGCCTCCAAGGAGGACATCTGGTATTAGTATGTCCCTGTGCGTCCCATTGAAGCCAGTTCAGTTGCCTCGCAGTGGCGTCCTTGCGCCCAGGAGGAGAGGCGGCAGAGGCCACCCCGAGCTCCGCCGCTTGCTGTGCGCCCAGCTGCTGGCCGCGTGCCTGCGGGCCTGGGGCGCCCGCGCCGCCGCCCGCCGCAGCTGGCAGGTGCGCTCCCGCACCGCGCGCGCCGCCCTGGCGGGCCGCGCGCTGCGGCGCTGCGCGCAGTGGTGGTCGGCGCGGGCCGGGAGGGCGCGCGCGCTGCGGGCCGCCGCGGAGGCACTCGGCCAGGCGGCGGAGGCCAGGCGGGCGGCGCGCGCGCTCGCGCTGCTGCGCCGCTCCGCGGCGGCGGCCCGCGCGGCCAGGGACATGGCGCTGCTGTCGACCGTGCGCGTGTCGCGGGCGTGCGCCGTGGCCTGGCTCGCGGCGGCTCGCCGGCAGTCGGGCCGCCGAGCAGCCCTGGCGCGAGCGCAGCAGTCAGTGCACCGACGGCGGCGGGAGGCAGTGTGGTTTCGGTGGTGCCAATTGTGTATTTCTCGGAGGCGTCTCTTGGACATGCTCGTCGCG